GAATTCTAGTTGAGCTATTTCAAAACCTAAAAAATAATGCTGTGAAAGTGTTGCACTCAATATGCCAGCAAATTTGGAAAACTCAGCAGTGGCCACGGGACTGGAAAAGGTCAGTTTTCATTCCAATCCCAAAGAAAGAAAATGCCAGAGAATGCTCAAACTACCACACAGTTGCATTCATCTCACACACTAGCAAAGTAATGCTCAAAATTCTCCAAGCTGAGCTTCAACAGTAGATGAACTGTGAACTTCCAGGTTTTCAAGCTGGATTTAGAAAGGGCAGAAGAACCAGGGATCAATTGCCAACATCTGTTGAATCATCAAAAAAGCAAGAGAGTTCCAGAAAAACATTTACTTCTGTTTTATTGACTATGCCAAAGCCTTTGACTGTGTGGATCACAATAAACTGTGGAAAATTCTGAAAGAGATGGGAATACCAGACCATGACCACCTTACCTGCCTCCTGAGAAATCTGTTTCTAGGTCAGGAAGCAGCAGTTAGAACTAGACTTGGAATAACAGACTGGTTCCAAGTTGGGAAAGGAGTACATCAAGGCTGTATACTGTCACCCTGCTTATTTAACCTATATGCAGAGTATATCATGAGAAATGCTGGGTTGGAGGAAGCACAAGCTTGAATCAGGATTGCCAGGAGAAATATCAATAACCTCAGCTATGCAGATGACACCACACTTACGGCAGAAAGTGAAAAATAACTAAAGGTCCTCTTGATGAAAGTGAAAGAGGAGAGTGAAAAAGTTGGCTTAAAACTCAGCATTCAGAAAACTGAAGATCATAGTATCAGGTCCCATCACTTCATGGCAAATAGATGGGGAAACAGTGGCTGACTTTATTTTGGGGGGGCTCCAAAATTACTGCAGATGGTGATTTCAACCATGAAATTAAAAGACGCTTACTCCTTGGAAGGGAGGTTGTGACCAACCTAGACCACATAATAAAAAGCAGAGACATTACTTTGCCAACAAAGGTCCATTTAGTCAAAGCTATGGTTTCTCCAGGAGTCATGTATGGATGTGAAAGTTGGACCATAAAGAAAGCTGAGAGTCAAAGAACTGATGCTTTTGAACTATGATGCTGGAGAAAACTCTGGAGAGTCCCTTGGACTGCAAGGAGATCCAACCAGTCCATGCTAAATGGACTTTCCCAATTTGGAACCAGTCTGTTGTTTCATGTCCAGTTCTAACTGTTTCTTCCTGACCTGGAAACAGATTTTTCAAGAGGCAGGTCAGGTGGTCTGGTATTCCCATCTCGTTCAGAATTTTCCATGGTTTATTGTGATCCACACAGTCAAATACTTAGGCATAGTCAATAAAGCAAAAGTAGATGTTTTTCTGGAACTCTCTTGCTTTTTCAATGATCCAACAGATGTTGGCAATTTGAACTCTGGTTCCTTAGCCTCTTCTAAATCCAGCTTGAACATCCGGAAGTTCACAGTTCATGTACTGTTGAAGCCTGACTTGGAGAATTTTGAACATTACTTAGCTAGTGTGTGAGATGAGTGCAAATGTGTGGTAGTTTGAGCATTCTTTGGCATTGCCTTTCTTTGGAATTGGAATGAAAACTGACCTTTTCCAGTCCTGTAGCCACTGCTTTTTCCAAATTTGCTGGCATATTGAGTGCAGCACTTTAGCAGCATCATCTTTTACGATTTGAAGTAGCTCATTTGGAATTCCCTCACCTCCACTAGCTTTGTTCATAGTGATGCACCCTAAGGCCCACTTGACTTTGCATTCCAGGATGTCTGACTCTAGGTGAGTGATCACACCATCATGATTATCTGGGTCATGAAGATCTTTTTTATATAATTCTTCTGTGTATTCTTGTCATCTGTTCTTAATATCATCTGCTTCTGTTAGGTTCATACCATTTTTGTCCTTTATTGTGCCCATCATTGCATGACATGGTCCCTTGGTATCTCTAATTTTCTTGAAGAGATCTCTAGTCTTTCCCATTCTATTGTTTTCCTCTATTTCTCTGCACTGGTTACTGAGGAAGGCTTTCTTATCTCTCCTTGCTATTCTTTGGAACTCTGCATTCAAATGGAAATATCTTTCCTTTTCTCCTTTGCTTTTTGCTTCTCTTCTTTCCTCAGCTCTTTGTAAGTCCCCCTCAGACAGCCATTTTTTCCTTTTTTGCGTTTTTCCTTGGGGTTGGTCTTGATCCCTTTCTCCTGTACAGTGTCATGAACTTCTGTCCATAGTTCTTCAGGCACTATATCAAATCTAATCTCTTGAATCTATTTCTCACTTCTACCTGTATAATCATAAGAGATTTGATTTAGGTCATGCCTAAGTAGTTTAGTAGTTTTCCCTACTTTCTTCAATTTAAGTCTGAATTTGACATTAAGGAACTCATATCTGAGCCACAGTCAGCTCTGGGTCTTATTTTTGCTGACTTTGTAGAGCTTCTTCATCTTTGGCTGCAAAGAATATAATCAATCGGATTTCGGTAGTGACCATCTGGTGATGTCCATGTGTAGAGTCTTCTCTTGTATTGCTGGAAGAGGGTGTTTCCTGTGACCAATAGACATGGTTGTTTGAGTCTGGAATATAAATGACCTACTTATGATGCATTTAACCCTCCAAAACATTCAGTTTCTTTTTCTTTTTTTGGCAGTATTTTAAGCAAGAAAACTTAAAAGAGTTTTCACATAGGTTGGAACAAAAACAGATGGGTTTCCACGAGTAAGAAATTTGTGTGCTTGCAACTGAATTCTAATAGAAAAAATTTAATTGTAGGAAAGCTAAGCTGTGATTCACAAAGGAAAACTTGTTTCTCAACCTTTGTTCACTAAGCTTTATTTTAAAATATTTTATTGTCATCTAGACAAAGCGTTGCTAACAGTATTTTAATTGTTTAAAAATATTCATGTCATTAATATTTTCTTTTCACCCCACATGTGACTATGTGTGGTTTTGATGTGGGTGATACATCTTTAAGTATGAACAAAGAAAAAGATGTTCAGAGGTTCACAGAGGTGCCCAGGGACTGTAGAGAGAAGAGAGTGTGATATGTACAGAGAGTGATCGATCCCCTCTTTACCGAGATGCACAGTTTGATTCAGGATGCACTGAAATCATTAGCAATAAGGATTTATTATAGAGTGCACAGTCTTGAAAAGAGAAGATTATCTATGGACCACATTTCTGTCCAAGACTTAATGCTTTATTTCTAAGGAGCCGCAGGTCCCCCTAGACACCCATGAATAAAATAGGGTAGCAGGTTGTGTGGTAGTTCAGTTGCTAAGTCATGTCCGACTCTGCGATCTCATGGACTGCAGCATGCCAGCCTTCCCTGTTCTCACTGTCTCCCAGAGTTTGCTTGAATTAATGTCCGTTGAGTCCGTAATGCTATCTAACCATCTCATCCTCTGCTACCCGTTTCTCCTCCTGCCCTCAATCTTTTCCAGCATCAGGGTCTTTTCCAAAGAGTCAGGTCTTCATATCAAGTGGCCAAAGTATTGGAGCAGGTCAGGGACAGTTATTAGTGTAGGGTTCCTGTGCATTAAAAGGTTTCCACCGCAGCATTGGAGCCGAGACAGGGATGGATGTAAACTTGGCTGAAGACTTCAGGTCAGTGGTCAAGGTCACACAGAGAGCCTGGGACAAATTAGACATTTGGGATTAAAATATACACACTACTGTATATAAACTAGGTAGATAACAAAGACCTACTATATAGCACCAGGAACAATATTCAGTTTCTTGTAATAATCTGTAATGGAGAAGATTCTGAAAAAGAATACACATATATTTGTATGTATAGCTCAATCTCTTTACTGTATACCTGGGACTAACACAACATTGTAAATCAACTTTACTTCAATAAAATTTTTTTAAAATACACTTTACATTGGCAGATCAAAGGAAGTCATAGATCCCCAGCTGCGTTTGTACTTCTCACACCCAATTGATGTATTTAGAAACAGCAGGATTTACTTGCAGCTCTTATTTCCTCAGGGACAGTCTGCAAAGACATTTATTTATCCACTGCTGTTTATAAAGACCGTGAGTTACGAGGTGACCTCCATCTCAGCAAGATAAATCCTGGTGGCCAGAGTCCCACCAGCCTCATCTGTTGCTGAAGTAGTTACTGAAATGTGTTTTCTTGAGAAGGCAGGAAGGCTCTGCTCACACACACAAGGCTGTGGTGAATTGTCTATAAAACTGCCAGGCATCTATTAAGTGGGGGATGTAGCTCATCTTTATAGAGCAGGAGGCAGTTTCTGATTGGGTGCTGGGCTGTTTCGGGGTGTGTTGTCTCCACATGTCCGAGGACCAGTATCAGTACCCATCACTGATACCCTGAATGCTGTTCGACAGAGAAGACAGGCTGTATCCCCCCACCAGGTCCTCCCCGAAGCCTGCAAAGTAACTCCAATAGCAAGAGGCCACCTTTTCCGAGGATGCCCCTGCTGTGTTTTAGATGACTGGTTGCTTCCATTACTGTGCTGCATGTCTGTCCGTGATAGGAAAATCAAAGCCTTGTGGTGTTTTTTTTTTTTTTTTAATTGTGTAGTACAAATTTCAGCATGGCCACCGAGGCTTGTTTCTCCTTTGGAGAAGCAATTAAGCCTGCAGAAAATAATTAAATACATGATGAAGTGAAGCCAAAGTTGCTCAGTCGTGTCTGACTCTTTGCAACCCCATGGACTGTAGCCTGCCAGGCTCCTCTCTCCATGGAATTCTCCAGGCAAGAATACTGGAGTGGGTTGCCACTCCGTTCTCCAGGGGATCTTCCCAACTCAGGGATCGAACCCAGGTCTCACACATTGCAGGCGGATTCTTTACCATCTGAGCCACCAGGGAAGTCGTAAATACATGATATCTTGCCATAATTAGAAATCCAAAACTGGAGAGGGTTAATTATTTCAGTCTGTCATTGGTCGCCCACTAAAACATTCAAAGAAAGCATCTGGACAGTTACCAAGTTAATTTACAATACAAGTGCTTTTTCACAGCTTCAGTCTTTTTCCTGCAGGACCATGCAGATTTGAGAAGCCATTTCTTCACAGTTGGGATGAAGCTAGAGACCGTGAACATGAGTCACATTTGCCCTGCATCCGTGACCAAGGTGAGCATCCCTCCCCTGCTCCTGACCTCCACCTCTGAGGTGGATCACATCGTAAGTTTTTCTATTCCAAGCCAACCCGAGGAAATAGCCTTGATGCCAAGTAAACCCAGGAAAGAGGGCTTCCTTTGCAGCCCAGCCCTGTTTTAAGCTCCCTTTTTGGTCACTTACATCATGGAGCGAGTTTGATCAGGTGCTTCCTCTTGTAATGGGTGGGTGAGCATCACTTGTCCTCTGATAGTACAGAATGCAGACGCTTGTGTCTATAGTGACTTGGAGGAAGATGCCGACGCAAAACTGAGTTTATAGCAGTGAACTCAGCCACTGAACATGTGCCACCTTCTCTTATTAACCACATGACACTGAGCCTGCCATTTGTCTGTGCTCATGAAAAGAACTGCTGATAAGTTTGCATACATAGTCTTTATGCTAATAATTGGGCTCCTCCTGCTACACTGATTATAGCCCATGTGATCTATTTTGAAAATACTTGAAAATGGTGATAAGCAAAGTCCTGTTTCCGGAGTGAGGGGGCAGAGAACACTTCACTTCCTTTCTCTCATCTGCTTTCACTGATTAAAGGAGAAGTCATACATCTACAATTTGCAGATTTAAAATGAAAGTACCATTTCATGTAAAGTCATTTTTATTAATGAACTGATAGTCTTTTAAGATTATAATTTCCCTTCCCCATCAAAGAAGTCTCAGTGAACTCACCTACCCTAACATCTAAAGTATGTGTTTCTACTTTAAATACACACACACACACACACACACACACACACACACACACTATTTCTTGGAGGAAGAGATGTCAACCCACTCCAGTGTTCTTGCCCGAGAAATTCCTTTGGACAGAGGAGCCTGGTGGGCTGCAGTCCATGATGTCACGAAAGAGTCAAACTTGCCTGAGGGACTGAGCACATCCACTATTAATATCATTTTATAAATGGTGGCAGAATCCAATACACTTAGATTCTAGCCAACATGCATTTTAGTTCCATTAGTATGACCAAAATGATCAGCTTAAACTTTTTCATGACTGGACCACTTTAAGAATATATATTGAAAGTTATTGCTGAAAGTTATTGGCAGTTATTGCTGTGACCATTTGGGTGAAATATATTTACTTCATTTGAAAGCTGTGCCAGTCTTCCTTTGGAGCATTATTTGTTCATCTCAAGGAATTAACCCTGGGCGCTGTTGTCTTTTCTTTCAGGTTTTTAACAATCATTTTTTTCAAGTGACTATTGATGACCTCAGACCAGAGCCTAGTAAACTCTCGATGTTATGCCATGCGGACTCTTTGGGGATTTTACCAGTACAGTGGTGCCTTAAAAATGGAGTCAATCTCACCCCTCCCAAAGGTTTGTGTTTTGTGAAAGTTGACAGCGTTTGGGTGGTTCAGGAGGACTTGTATTGTCAGCCAAGTGATGCCTTTGTCGATATGAAGACGTTTATGCCATAAACATTTTGGATGCAGTGGGAAAACAGTGTGTTCCTTGGTTAGCTTGCCATAGGGTCTGTTGCAGCTCCTTGGGGCTTCCCAGGTGGTGCTACTGGTAAAGAAGCCACCTGTCAGTGCAAGACACAGAAGAGATGCAGGTTTGATACCTGGGTCGGGAAGATGCCCTGGAGGAGTACATGGCAACCCACTCCAGTATTCTTGCCTGGAGAATCCTATGGACAGAGGAGTCTAGCGGGCTACAATCCATGGGGTCACATAGAGTTGGACATGGCTGAAGTGACTTAGCTCACACACACGCACGTGCGCGCACACACACACACAGCTCCATTCCCTGGGGAGGCACGTGACCCTGGGCTCCTCTGTGAAACATTGCTACCCTTCTGTTATTGTTTGATTGGAAGCTGTGTTTCTGCTATGTGTTGACAGAGGGTACAGAATTGCCAAGTGATTGGGATTAAAAACTTGAACGTGTCTGAGCTGTGGCTTTAAAAAGGCAGCAACCTGCTAACGAGATGTTTCTTTAAAACTGTATTTCCAATAAGTTGACTTTTCCCCAGAGCCCAGTTGCTCTCAGATTTTCAGTGCTTTGTTTCCATAAGACATGACAGTAATTAAGTTGGGTATCAGGTTGCATTCAAGTCCTCTTAAATTGAGATCCATAAACCATAGTATCGGTGAGTACTGTGCTGTACTTTACGATGTGATTTCTTGTCCTTGTAGTTCTAAGGTTTATCCAGGGAAGATGCAGAGAGATGAAAGGTGAGAAGATGGATAGGAAAAGAAAGGGAATGAAGGAAGAGAAAAAAACAAGAATAGAAAACTAAAGTTCCAGGGAGATTTTGACAGATAATCTCAAATAAAACAGGGCTTTTGTGCTCATCTCTTCAGATCTCCAGAGATTGGGTTCTGTGTGCATCAGTTGTGTCCCAGCTTACTTATTGTGGAATGACTATACTATGCTGGGCTTTTATCCTAACTCATCCTCCAGTGTCTGCCCCACGGAAGAGATGCTTTTGAATTATTTCCATCTCAGCCCTTGCTTCTTCTCATTAAAGTTCTGCAGTAATGGAATTCAGCCTGATTATAATGTTTCTCTTAAACACTGCTTTCCCTGTTTCCAGTGCCAAATTCACTGAGTCCTCAAAATGAGGATTTCCCTACAGGGAAACTTAGTTCCAGGAGTTTATGTAACCTGCCCAGGAACCCCATGCTTAGTAACAGGACACGCGGTCAGGCTCCAGATTCTTTGCTCAGTTATGGGTGGTGAATATTAGGATCACGTGGCCTCTGTTTTTGTGCCCATTTGGGTGCGTGGGTGACTCTACAAATCAGTGTGCTTCAGTTTGCAAGACTGGTAAGTGGGGGCACCCCTGGTCCTCCACAGACATTCTGTAGTAGGGGTCCCTGACCGCCAGGATCTGATGCTTGATGATCTGAGGTGGAGCTGATGTAATGATAATAGAAATCAAATGCACAATAAATGTAATTCACTTGAATCATCCAGAAACCATTCCCCCAACTCCTGGTTCATGGAAAAATTGTCTTCCGTGAAACCAGTCCCTGGGGCCAAAAAGGTTGGGGACCTCTGCTGTATAGAATCAAAGACGAGATACAAATCCCAGTGTTTTTATAATTCTTTACGTGACAGTACAAATTCTATGTTGTGTGCGTGTATGCTAGTTGCTTCAGTTGCTAAGTTGCTTCAGTTGTGTCTGACTGTGTGCTATCCTATGGACTGTAGCCCACCAGGTTCCTCTCTCCATGGGGATTTTCTAGGCAAGAATACAGGAGTGGGTTGCCATGCCCTCCTCCAGGGGATCTTCCTGACTCAGGGATTGAACCTGCCTCTCTTATGTCTTCTGCAGTGGCAGGCGGGTTCTTTACCACTAGCACCACCTGGGAAGCCCAAGTTTTCTGTTATGAACCATCTATTGGTTCAGGCAAGAGAAGTCTTTTCCTTCTGTGAAGTGTCAGCAGCTGGCCAGTTGTAGAGCTGGAAAGCCCTCTGGCCATCATTATTTCTTCCCAACTTCTAATCAAAGTGTGTATGCAGATGAGTCTCTTGTCATTGAAGAAAAATGTCATAGATGTCTAAAATGTTACTTGTTTGGACTTGGAAAATTTATAGTTTGTTCCTAGAAAAATAGGGTCATTTAAGAATTTTTAAAAATGAGTGTTTCCTCACATAGTTAAAAAAAACATAAGAAAAACATTTATATCTGCATTTTGGATGTTTGATTGATGGATGGTAGAGGTTTAACATTTACTAGCGTCTTGAGAATTTTTAAATATGTTTCCAAAAAGAGATTATTCACATAGCTTGGAGCTTTACTAGTAAAATAAATGTGCCTATTTTGATAATTGCATTTTATGATATTAAGGAAATTGTTTTATATTAATATAATTGAACTCTTAAATGTGCAGTGAAATGACGGTACAAATTTTTTTATAATATTAAGTATTTTTGTATCTTAAGCTTTTTATACCTACCCTTCAGCCATAATTATCACTTCTCTGTCACCTAAGTATTTGTGATATTTGGTAAAATGAAATTGTCTTCATGTAGTCTTCCAGACGGCTCCTTCCCCTGTTGAAATTGAAGCATATCTTTTCTAGGAGGAATGTTTCTCTATTGGTATTATGTATCATTTGTAAAATACTGAGTAATGATGATGAGTATCTTCCAATAAGAAAATCTCAGTGATAATTATTTTTTAAACCCTTAAAGCAAGAAGTGATTCATCAGTAATCTTAAGGTGTTGTCTTTTGGCTGTAGGACCGTTGTCTTGAAATGGTAGAGCTTTTACTTATAGAGCTTTTACATAATCCAGTAAGAAGAAAAGCAAAAACTTATATAGGTTTATAAATACGAGTAGATACTTCATGATAATAGAATCATCCCTTTTATGTGAACTCATCATAAGAAGAGAAATGCCCAGTAAAGTCATACTGAGATGGCATGGATTTCTCAGATGAAGTGGATATCCAAAAGAGAAAGAAAGAAGCAGGTCTGTTTTGATGGAGTGTGGAGGGACAGGTTCTCTCAAACTTGCTGGCAGGAATGCAGGTAGGTGCCAACTGTAGGCTAGGTAGTTTGGGAAGTTTTACAAAATTACAGATGCATTTAGCTGTTGACTTACCATTTCCACTTCTGGGAATTTCTCCTAAACTTATAATGTACTGATAATATGCATAAAAGTTTGGTTATTTTTGCAGCATGATGTGTAATAGCAAAAGACTTGGGAAAACCCAAGTGTCTCTCTGTATGGGATTGGTTAACTCAATTTTAGATGTTTATATAATGAAAACTGCAGTTGTTGAAAAGAATGAGGAAAATCTGTCCGTATTGACATGAGATGCTCTACAGGATGTGCTGTGAGCGGACTGATCGATGGGTTATAGTGCCATGCCTTTTTTGCTAGAAAAGAGGTTAGTAAGGATATATATTTTAATATTTCTTTATGTATTGCTGCATTGGGTCTTAGTTGCAGTGAGCAGGTTTTCCTCTGGTTGCATAGCACGGGTCTAGTTGCTCTGTGGCATGTGAGATCATAATTGAGCCCACATTCACTTGCATTAGAAGGCGGATTCTTAACCACTGGATCACCAGGGAAGTCCCAGGATGTGTATTTATGTTTGCACATATTCTTGTAAAGAGAGTCTGTAAGATTATGTAAGAAATTAATGAAAATGATGACTTGTATTTGGGAGCGTAGGGTATGGAGGTGGCGACCAGGGCAGATAGGAACCAGACTTTTAACAGAATCGTTTTTAAGTCTTTTTATTTTTTATTTTCTCTTTGCTCTAAGTGAGTGTTTTATTTATTCAAAAATGATCACATATTGTTATAAAAAGGATTTTATAACTGAAATGGTATTAGAGATTTTGTTATCACCTCCAATCATTGTATATGTGGGGAAATTGAAGTTGAGTCGTGTTAAATGGTTTAAGTTTTTTTTTAAGTCTCAGGGCTGAACTGGGCATAAAACCCCCTTCTTGAGATCCCCAGTTGAGTGTGTTTTCTGTATGACCACCCTTTGTTGCTGTCCTCCCCCGGCTGAGTAAGCCCACCCTTCTCAATGCCTCGCGGCGTTGGGTGGCCTTGTGCAGGGCAGAGCCGTGTCAGCGCACCGGGACTCGCCCGTGACTGGATGCTCTGTGTCAGAGCATTTGGAGACTTTCAGCTCTAGGGGATAAAGTTTCAAGTGTTTGCAGTTATAACAAAGATACATCTTTAATTATTGAGCTCCCTTACCACCTGGGGCTTCCATGGACAGAGGAGCCTGGCGGGCTACAGTCCATGGGGTCGCAAAGAGGTGAGACACGACTGAGTGACTAACATTTAATACCACTTGGGGACACTATATTGACTATGTATTTACATGTGTCATATATGTAGTAAAGTATTTTTATTTTTGTAATTAAAATGAATTAAAATTGAGAGATGCTGGTGGTCTTGATAGTGGTTTCTTTAGATAACTTGTTATGTGCCTTATATATCAGCACCTGGTCTGGCAATCATGCTGTTGGATGCTACCCAGCACCCTTATTTGCTCTAATAACGTATGGAAGTTTGTTGTCTTTAACTTTAATTCTGAGAATGTCTAGGATTTATTATTTTTGTTGTCGTTGTTTAGTTGCTCTTTTGCAACCCCATGGGCTGTAGCAGCCTGCCAGGATCCTCTGTCCATGGGATTTCTCAGGCAAGAATAGTGGAGTGGGTTGCCGTTTCCTTCTCCAAGGGATCTTCCTGACCCAGGGATCGAACTCCCATCTCCTGCATTGGCAGGCGGATTCTTTACTGCTGATTCTTTACCATGGAAGCCCAAGATTTATAATACACGTTGAAAACGAGTTCATTTGTTTTCTTGTAGGTATGTTTTCCATGAAAGCATTACA